AGATTCTCAGTTTTCATCACTCAGCTTATTCACTTCATAAGCTTTAGAAACACTATAGTGACCTGAGATTCTGAGTTTATTAATACTTCTTATACTTACAGAGTAGCAGTACTGCAGTGCAGTCTCTTCTCATAAGTAAGTATTTTCATCAGAGAAGTAATAGATTCAGATATTAGCTTCAAGACTTTTAAGAAAGCTGTTACTAACTCTGTCTGTAACTCTTTAAATTTCTATTTTAATTTATCTGAGCAGTTTGTATGAAAATATTCTGATTTAAAATAGATAAAGTAGAGACTCTTTTTCTTAATCTCTCTGTTATATACTCTGTTTATAGAAGCTTATAAAGCTCTCTCTCTCTGCTCAGTAATCAGATATAAATCTCTCTATATCTTATTATCTTTCTCTGATAAATCTGTTCTCTATTATTCTGATTCTTACAGAGCTGATCAGTGATTCACTCTTTATAAGTCTGTGACTCTTACAGTGATCTGTAAGTAATGAATAAGAGTCATCAGTTTCTTCAGAATTAAGAACTTAGAGTCTTACTTAATGAGCTTATTCTGCATATCTTTATTCAGTCTCTTTATAAATATCATCATTCAGATCTTGTTTCAGAACTCTGTTTTCACAGATCTCAATTCATATTATAATTTTATAACACACTGTGAGTAGTTTTTATCAGATTTCTCACCTCTTTTTTTAATATTGATAATCACAGCTCAGATATTCTCTGTTCAGCTTACAGAGTTTCTCAACTTATTCTTTAGATAGATCTTGAGAATAGATCAGTGAGATCTCTTATAATTATTCTTTAAATAATTCAGTCAGTTCTTGACTTCAGTGTAGTAGAGATCTGTTATTATATAGATAACAGCTTCTTCATCTTTTATATTACACAGCTGAGCTTGTGAGTCAATTTTAAATACAAACTTATAAAAGCTTTTATAGATTATGATTCAGTAACTGATCTTAAGTAATTACAGCTTAAGAAAGTTTCTTTTCAGTTTGCAGATATCTCTGAAGATTATATCTAGAGACTCAGTTCAAAAATGTTTATAAACAGTAAGTATTTCTTATAGAAAAATAGCTTGATTCTGTGAGAGATGCTCAAGAATGTTCTTCACTAAGATTGATTTATTTATAAGTTCAGAGAGTTTCTCTATTATAGATGTAAAGAATAATATTCTATAAGTGATTAATAAGTTCTCTGAGACTTCTTTTATAAGAATTATTCACAATTTAAATGACTGCTTCTGAGGATCTGCAGTAGAGTTCATAGAGATTGAAGTATGCAAGTTTCTAGTTCTTTCAGTTATAATAAGTGATTACTGACTGACTGAGCTTAAAATGTAAAAATAAGTATTCATAGATGATTATTCAGGCATTTACAGCTTGATGTGATATATACTGTTAACTACTAGAAGTATTTACAGTAGAAAGATAAAATGTAGAGATTAAATATATAATAGCATTCAAGCTGAGTTATGAATAGTATTCATGAACTTCAGTCTATATAGTTGTGTGTAGCCAAGGGTCACTAACTCTATTGATTACGTGAGAGATAGAAATAGGGGTAAAGAATCCGCGAGAAGCGGGATTTCTTACAATAATACACTTTATACTCATCTATAAGAACTTAAAGTCAAAGAATTTGACTTATATCTTCATCTATAATATGATTCAGTTACATGAATTATCTGTGAATATTATCTCAGACAGAGAATTAATCTTTACAGAGAAGTTCTGATCTGATCTAATAACTATACTAAAAATCTTATAAGATTTAAGCATGACTTTTTATTAATAGACAGATAATCAGATAGAATATCTGATAAGTATATTAAAACAGTATCTGCAGTGTTTTATCAATTACAATCAGAATAACTGAGTGTATTAATTATCATTTATAAAGTTTGTATATAACAACTTAAAATATATTAGTACAGATAAAACCCTCTTTATAATACTCACTGAGACTCACTCACAGATAATCTTAATGAACTTATAAGAGTATACTATAGAGTGTGATAATATCTGTGAATAAGCTGAGAGAATTTAGAATATTCAGAAGAAAGTTTGTAAATTCTTGAGAAAGACTTAAGAGTATTAGAAGAGATACTATAACTCTAAGCATATTATAAAGAGTTTTAAGAAAGATAATAGAGTCTGACTAAGTCTAGAAAATATCATTATGCAGAGATCTAGTAAGAAGCTAAATCTCTTATAAACAGAGTCTTATAAAATTATGAAGAAAGTTAGTTTATAGTTTTACAGATTGAAACTGTTATCTGAGCTGTAGATATATAATGTTTTTTATATCTCTTTACTCTATAAATATAAGAATTTCTTAGAAGAGAACTCTGTAACTTATCACTCTATTTATAAAGTACTAGAGAGTGAAAGAGAATATTAGATTAAAAGAATTATTAACTCAGAGAAGTGAGATTATAAGCTCTGATTCAAGATTCAGTGATAAGAATATTCTAATAAGATGAATAAGTTCACTTAAGAATTATTCAGATAGATAAGATATCTGTGAAAGCTGAGACATGACTTTCATACTATAAATTCTGATAAGTCAGAATAACATAATTCTCACTAAGAATCTGATTATAACAAAGATATTAACACTGTTATTTATAAATTCTAGTCTATGAGATAATGAGTTTCTACTGAAATGAACAGTCTAGAATATATGTAAAGAGAAGAAGAAATTATATTCTTATTAAAGCTAAAAAATAAGAAAAATGAAAACAGAGCTGTGAACACAATTTAGAGATTAATAAAGAAAAAATAAAGACAACTTATATCTATATTCTTAATATCTGTAATACTTAACTTCTCTATAACTATTAATTTCTCTCTTCAAAGAAGCAGAGAGTATCATACTTATAGTACAGATAATTATTATATTTAATGTAAAGATTATTAGAAATGTACAGACTTCAGAGAAGTCAGATATCAGAGTATATACAGTTGTAGCAGAGTCTTGAGAACTGATCATCTGTGTATATAATCAGATATCTCTTATAGAGCTATGTCTATCTCTTCAGTTATACTGAAGTATTCAGCTTGAAAATAGTTGAGATATGAAGAGAGAGCTTATCTATTCAGATTATCTTCTATCATGAATTCATGATATTTATATTGTCTTTATTATCTGAATTTTACAGGTACTTAGAGACTCATCTCTCATTGATAATAAGATTGCAGAAATGCATTATAATATGAGAACTGTTAATAGAGAATTTAGATATATTTGCATATATCTGATCAGAGATTATATAAGTAGAAGAGAGATAATTATAGATCTACAGAACTGTAGAGAACACTGACAGCATTGAGAGCTTTGCAGAAACTATTAGCTAGAGTCTATAAGAAATTATTTATAGAGAGACTTATAGTAAAGAGCAGAACTATACTACTTGAAGTTAGAGACTAATCTAAGAGAGATATGAAGTTAGCTACTAATCTGAAGATTGAGTACAGTGACAGAGCTAAAAGAGATGAAGATATTATTATAAGTGATAGTATCTCTACTTTATCAGCTGATAAAAAGTGATTAGAGAAGTTACAGTGATACTTATAAGAAGCTCAGCAGCAGTCAGACATTATTTATAAAGATATTAGAATTGAAAAATTTTTTATTCTTAAGAAGTTCTTAAATTAATATACAGATATTATTAGAAACATTCTCTCTCTATTATCTGAGTGAAAACACTTCACAGATGAATGAGAATACTCACAGTTTATAAGAATAAAAACTGTTATAGAAAAAGAAAAAAGAAGATAAGATTTTATAAACAGATCTGAGATACTTATACTACTCTAGAGAGATTTGTTTATACTATGAATAATTTTATTAAATAGTCAGATCACTCTAGTAAATAAAGAATAATTATAAATTACAGATCTAAATCATTCTATATAACTATAAAGAGTGATTGCAGACTGTGAATATCTTAATTCTATAATTTTACAGAGTTAGTGAAAGAATAAAAAATTCCTCACAATTCTACAGTATCAAAGAATGATAATTTATAAGAATGAGTGAAATATTAACTTATAAATACTTCTCTTTGATAAGAATAATCTTACAGAAAGTGATTCATCTGCAGAATGAATCTGTATAATAATTATATAAGAATTTCACAGAAAAATAATTGAAGATTAACTGAAACTCTTCAGATTGAAAGATACAGAATGAATCTGTATAATAATTATATAAGAATTTCACAGAAATAGTTGAGAGTCAATCAGAACTCTTCTATATAAAAGATGTGAGATGAATCTGTATAATAGTCAGAGAAAGATCTGCAGATTATAAAGAATCTTACAGAATAAGAAACTGAGTGACAGACTTTTTTCTCTTTATAATAATAAGAGATTTTTTCTCACTGAGATTTTTTTTTATAGATATAAAGAATTTTTAGTATCACTGCAGTGCTGAGCTTGATTCTATGAAATCACTCAGTGAAAGACTTTACAGATGAAGTCTTAGAGAGAAAGAAGTATATAAGAAATCTTACTTCTCATGAATTCTTTATCTCTATTTCTATCTCTTGTATAATTAATAGAGTTAGCAGCTCTTGACTATATATAACTATATAGACTGAAGTTCATGAATACTATTCATAACTCAGCTTGAATACTATTATATATTTAATCTCTACATTTTATCTTTCTACTGTGAATACTTCTAGTAGTTAACAGTACATATCACACTAAGCTGCAAACACCTGAATAATCGCCTGTGAGCACTTATTCTTACATAAGTATCACTGTAATACTAAGTCTGATTCTATGAAATCACTCAGTGAAAGACTTCACAGACAAATCTGTAGAGAGAGGTAAGTATGTAAGAAATTCTACTTCTCATAAATTCTTTACTTCTATTTATCTCTTGTGTAATCAATAGAGTTAGTGACTCTTGACTACACACAACTATATAGACTGAAGTTCATAATTACTATTCACAACTCAGCTTAAATACTATCATACATTTAACTTCTTAAAGTGAGAATAAGAGCACCGTAGACCTCATCATATTTGATGTTAACAAGTTCTCATTCATCGGGTTCCCCGACTAGGAAGAGGTGATTGAGTAGCTTGATAATTGGCATTCGCCTTTGAGGGTTTTGCTGTAGCATCAATGAAAGAAATGATACAAGATGCTGAACATTCTCAGTACCGAAGTCATATGGCAACCTGTCTGTCAGGTGTTTTGTAAACTTCTCATGCATCTGACCATTCTCATCAAGGAGTTGGCTAATACGGTATGTGTGCTCTTTGTCAATCTGTTCAGCTGTGAGGCCAAAAGACCCCAAGGGAAATAATGGCTCATTTGTCGCCAATTCAAATATCTTTACACAAGGATTAGATTGGAGAGAACTGAGTTTAGATACAGAGGGGCATACCAAACAACCCAAGGCCCAGATATCTATGCTGGCATCCCAAGTATTTCGGTGGATTAGCTCAGGTGCACGCAAGGCTGTCGGTGTTACCGGCCGCTGATCATGTTGTCGACTCCATAGAGCTAGGTAATGACATGAGTCTTGTATCAGCTTTGAGTTCAATATAAACAATGGGTGCATCATACCTCCACCCAGATCACCAATCTTAACCAAGATTGTGGTGAAGTCTGCATCATCCAGTTCGCCCCGACATCTCTGTGTAGCCATCAAATATTCCGGCGCGCTGTCATCTACCTTCACTCCTTCTAGCCACCTAACAGGGCTGAACTCAGGAGGCTGCAAAAATGCCTCGCTGTGCGCAGCCCCAACAATTGAAAACATAACATTTGCAGGTTGCAGATCTGCATTACGTCAGGACACTATTGAATATCATGCTTCAGGAGTTGACCTACCGCAATGAATTATGCCTAGCTGATGAAGGAAGTCGAGACCTAACAAGACTTGTTTGGAAATAGCTCGTATGTAGGCTGCGTGGTGCGGTCTTCTGCTGACACTCATTATTTCACCATCGGATATCATTGCAGGGAACACCAGACACAAGTGTGTCCCATTTGGACCATCATGCTCAAAATAATCCAGCAGTTCAATAACATGCCCTTTGCCAGGATGATCTAGGCCTGGAGCAGACAGTTTAAGGAGTATAGCAAGCTCTTTATTGTTTCTGGAAGCATCTGCTTTCAGTATCTTCAATGCAACATGACGCTGGAGCCTTAAATGTATTAGTTGTCACTGAGGAAGTATGGTCGGCCAAAGAGAGACTCACAATTGATCATGTGTAAGCCATACTGTTGAAAATTGACCAAACGCCAACTTTCCGATAACCTCATACCTCTGATTGAATACATCGTGAAGGTGTACTGGATGATAGCCTCCCTGCCGATACTCCTCAACAGGCTCAACGACATCGTGGATTCTTTCGAAACGCCGCATTTTGAATTCACAGGCAACTGGCATCTGGCTGAGGAATCGACCCGGAAGTTGTTTGCAAGTTGACCATATCCAGGGCTCATGTCATAAAGCCATACCAGATTTTCAGGCTGAGGGATGTGGCAGGAGCTGACAAACTCATTCAATGTCATGTGACAGAGCTTGAACTGTCCAATAATTTGACGAAACAGCTCCTGCTCCTGGCGCTTACTCGCAAGACACTGAATGCTTCACTTTCTCCTCCACACATGACCCAGAAAGCAGATTGGTGAAGCTATTTAAGAATACCTAGCCAAAAGTTCCATTTGCATGATAGAGACTGATCCTTGCAAATATTTCGGTGCACCATTACCTATAAATTACCTCCAAGCCTATGGAGCGATGGATTCTCGATTGTGATGGCGACTCTCCACCATAGTATCTACAACTTTAAGCCGCGCCTCCCGCACTTATGCTCTGGAAATATATACCTCGCCATGCCATGATGCCATTGTCATTGTTTACTTACCCTTAAAATCTTCTACTTATCAATAATCAAAGCTCTATCCAAGTCACTACTCTACCGCCCCGCATGGTCCTGCCTGTTGAATTCAAGCCTCCTACCATGTACTCCACCCAGCCAAACGTGAGGACGGAGATCGAGGAGCTGGTGCGAGACCACCACCAAAACAATTTGCTGGGGAAGGATGGAAAGATCTATGACAAAGCTGTTGTCATGTAAGGAAGCTATCCTTTCGGACTTTGAAATTCGCTAATGGTCGCCAAGCTGCAACTTCCATACAAGTAGCCATAGTGGTGACCCAAAAGAACATTGTACCGTTGAATATCATGCCGGAAGCTACGTGAAGACTCAGCACATCTACCACAAGGATTGAGTCGAGGTCCCGTTTGGAGGTTATGGATGCGGATGAACAGGGAAGCACTAGTGGATTATGTGACGGAAGGGAGAATTTGGGAAAATGTCACATAACAGGTAACTAACTTAGTTAACTTTTGTAGGCTAACTACTGGGGCAAAAGAGCTCAGTCACCACCAGCGCACTGCTGGTAGAAGGGCCGATCAACCCGGGACCCCCAATAACTTTAATGCTGCGGGGCTGCTAAGTCAAGAGGCTTATCGATATTCTTGATCACGAGGCTTATATTCATCTACATTACTACTCATACCAGAGCTTTCGTTAACCCCCCAATTATATGATTGAAACCCCCGAACCGTCCCGCTAGAAAATGCCATTATAAGTTAGTCAAAATCAGCATCAGGGATCTGCATGCATAACCTGGTAATAAATTTTATGGATGTTGCTTGATAACATTTGGCACTAGGCTCCAGCCTTGGCGGGAGGTTCATTGGTTGATATCTCGACTAGACGAGGGCGAATGGCACTGACTGCAGAGCTCATAAGAGAGAATCATGAGCCACAAGCGGAGTAGGCGCCCTGATAAACATCGGCCCCCACTCTAGGGTAGATTTGGTTGGTGATTGCATTCGCAGCGCTCGGCGCCAGCAGAATCCATGTTGGGTTTCAACACAGTAATAAACTTGTTGGTTCATAACCAGATCAGCTTAGTTGGCAGTCTTCGCGCTGAGCTTGAGCTTGTAAACAGGGCTGGAAACTGAAAAGCGAGGCTCAAGATGGATGGCTGATAATGTTCAGCCACTTTTCATTTGCTATGTACAGCCCATTTTCATCTCCGCAAAGGGTTATTGCAATAAACAGTTTATATTCATCAAAACTGCTCAATATTGATGATTACACACAGCTCGTCCCACTACAGCACCTATTGTAGCCCTCAACTTCTGCCTCTTCTGTTTTCTAGTCAGGGTTCAAGGACAGTTCTTTATACTAATCAAAACCCCCAAACGGCCAAACGATCATGGAGGACTCGCGATGAAGACAATTATACAAATGTTGATATTTGCAGTGATGACAGATGTGCCTCGCATAGCCTAGGTTGTGAATGCGTCTTCTAAATCCACCAGCTTATACAGGCTGATGGAAGCTGACAATGCTTCAGTTTAAACGCTGAGTAATCTTATTCCCAGCTATACCACCCACCCTTGATTTTTTGGGGTTTCTGCTCAGAATCTGGGTTTCATCTTCCACATCTTTGTTTGCAGCAGCAAAGCTCCATTGCACATCCTCAGTTTCATCAGTCACAGTTGAAATATCAGAATCATCTAAGATAGCAGCTATGTCAGAGTTCATCTGATGCTGAGATGCAGAATGACATTGAGACTCAGTCTCTGAGAATCTTTCATTTGCTGCTCTAATAACTTCAGTCCTCTTTTCCTTTGTTCAATCTCAGGTATTTCTGTATACTGATACTCCTTGCTGAAAAGTTTCCAAGTTATCAGTCATATCTCAAGTATTGAGCTGAGTTATAATATACTCAGAACAGTAATCTGAACTGCTGAACTTGATGAGATGAGTTGTATATAGCTTGAGTTAACTGCCATGATAAGTTGATGTAAGAGTATAGACATTGTTGTCATAGATTGATTCATCTTCTTTATATAACTAAAGAGAATGCATTTCTCAGACTTCTAGAGTGCTATTATAACAAGCCTGATGTGTAGTCACAGTCAGAGATTCATTGAGATCTTTCACTTCTAAAAAGAAGTTTGATGCTATTGAGAGGTCATTCTGTATTGATGAAACAATCTGACTGCTCAGTTTCTTACAGATTTGACACTTGAGCTGTTCAGAATGAGTGTTATAGAAGTGATCTGATCTGGCAGAAGTCAGTGTATCATCAGTTAAGAGAGCAAGATTGACAAATGAATAATTCTCTCTGACACATTTAAGATCACTGATATTATTATTAAGAATTGAAACTACTGAAACTGTAACAGGCTTCTCTTTGAATGCATATGCATCTGCTTCTCTGAAATCTTCAAAGTACTTCTCAGAGAACTTCAAGAGAGAAAGAGAAGCTTATGATTGTGTCAATATTTCATTGATCTTCATTCAGTTATTCAGTTTTAATGACTTCTCACTGTCTGAATACCTATACTCCAGTGAATAAACTCTATGGTCAATTAAATTCTGCTGGAAGTTCCTACTATATGCTGAGATGCTTGAGGTTTTTGTGGTCATCTTTGTGTTTGCGGTAATGAATGATAAAGGAGATTCCACCCGACGCTTCCTACGATGGGAGGTTGAACTCATCGGTTGAGAGACAGAATACTGGGATAACATTAGCACCGAGGTGAGTATTGAGTTGTAGTTACATACATTTCTCAAATCAGACAGTTCAGGTTCTTTCAATCTCAAAAACCTCTCTATCTTCTTTAAGTGATCAGGCAGATAATCATGAAGAATATCTGAAGCAAAATAAAATACTTCACAGTGCTTCAGCTCAGTAAATTGTTGAGTGATAGATCTATGAAGTTTTTACAATAATTCTTGAGAGCTGTTTCTTCAGTCTAACTCTTTTATTATGCTCTTGATTAATCAAATCTTTGATAGATTATTTCAGTAAGACTGGCTGAGCTTCTGCTTCTTCAACTGATGATGTGAGGTTTTGAAAGAATGCTCAAGGTGCTGACACTTGCAGGATAGCCTAAAGTTGTACAACAAAGGCATATGGCGGCGGTCATAGAGCGTTTTAAATTCTTAAATGGAAAGAAGAGAGGAGTAAAGGTCATTTTGTAATAAATTATCACTCATAAATGAGCTTCGACAATGCCGAAGCTGTTCTAACAAAAATATCTTAATGCACATGAGTCTCTGTGTGCAAAGATGTTACAGAGCTAAGCTCAAAACAGAAGACCTCATAAGATTGATTTTACAGCTTATTATTAATAATAATAGAAGAGATAGAACTGTAAAAACATATAGAGATTTATTTTTCAGTGTAAAAGCATCAGCTAACTAAGTAAGAAAAAAAATAAAAAATATCTCACTCTATTCTACTGACTTATATATTATTCTTAAGAACAGTTTGAGTAATCTAAAGAAGACTTATAATAGTTCTGAATTTAGTCTTCAGAACTGTATTCTTCTTACACAGAGTCTTATTTTTAATATAAAGAGTTAAAATCTTAATATTATAATCATTAACTGATTCAATACTTACTGTCTATTTTTTCAAGACTCTAGCTTCTGTATTCTCAGCTGCAGAGTACTTCTTAAATAAGCTTTTCTTCTTAACTTTCTTTCTCTTTTCATTCTTCTACTTCTTTTCTTTCACTTTATTATTCTTCTTACTGATATTGATTATATATAACTATTAGTTAATTATATTAGAATTGATATATTTTATATTAAAAAGTGACTCACTTCTATAATAAGAGCAGTAACTTTCAGTACTATTATAATAATAACTAATACAAGCTTTATAAGACTGATTTAGAGTGCTGATACAGATAATAAAAGAGTCTTCTTCTCTAATATAATAACTGCAGAGAACTGTAAAAACAGCACTGTAAAATTATAGAAGAAGAGCTTTATAATTTGTATTAATTTTTATATTAATCTGATAACTCTTCTATAAGACTGACTTATAAGTACAGAGTAATTTGATAAGAGTCTGTAACTTCTTTAACAACTTCTCAGATATTCTTTCAGTTAAATAAGTCAATAGTTAACTTAATAATCTAGAATCAGCAGATGCAGCAGAGACAGATACAGATATAGATATAGAACTGAGAATAAGATTAATAGCTAATAACTTAACAGATTAAACAAGGTTATTAAGAACTATACTGACTGTTAAAATTATAATTTTCATTATTTTAAGAATCTCACTTCTAATGAATATATTTCAAGATATTATTTTCAGTTATAATAATAGTATTAATGATTTTTTAAACTTCTGATAAATTAATAGAGATAAATAAAATGATTTCTGAAAAAAAAAAAAAAACAGCTGACAGAGATAAGAGATGAAAGATAAGATGAATTCTTTAAAAAGAAAGAGAATACTCTGAGATTTATTTACTTCTTCTTATACATGTATTAACAGCTGTAAGAATTCAATATCTCTAATTATATAATGTAACACAGGTCTTAATAATACAGGCCTTAGAAGATTCTCAATCTCTCAGATCAAAGATATTATTATATTAAATCTAAGCTATATAGATTAATATCTAAATTATTCTAATATCTTCTATAGATTACTAACTACTCATTCTCAGATTTAGTGATTATAATAGAATTGACTGTAATAAATTTGTTAAATTCAATGATTAAATTCAGTGAATCTGTAAGTAGAATAGATAAAGAGAATGATAAAATAGAGAATAAAGAACTTACAGTAATAAAGAATAAATAAATAAATAGATTAAATATGAACTGTGAAAAAGATGAAATAAAGAGTGAATAAAGCTATATAGAATATAGATTAGTAGAGATCTATAAAAAGAAAAGAAATATAACTTAGTTATCTATTAACTTTAATATCTTATATAATTAATCTCATGCATCTATATACTTCTACTCACTTTATTATCAGATCAGTGAAATCTGAAATAATTAAAGAATTACTTAAATAGAAGACCTTAATATATTTTAATCTGTGAAACTGCAACATATGTAAGATTAGTCTGAAATTCAGTCTCAGAAATATCAAGAACAGTCTGATCAAGTGATAATTCTTGAAATTTATAAATAGTAATGATATATATAACTGTAATAAAGAACTGTGTATAGCTGTAGACTTAATTAATATAAGAAAAGTCATAATAGCTATGAAAGATAGATATAAGTTTAAGATTCTCTTATTTTAAATAAGCAGAGCTGTTATATTTATTAAAATTGATTAACAGTATAAATGAAGAATCTTGATAAGAATTCTTCATATCTGAACTTTATACAATATTATGAAGAGTTTCAAGAGCACTGTTAATAAGCTCACAGTCTGTTTAAATATTCTATAGAAGTATAATTTAATAGCTGATAAAGAGAGAAAGATTCTGATGAAAATTATCAGTCTTATCAGAATCTAACTGAGAAGTATCTATTTTAATATTTATAGTCTGAATATTAATAACAGATTGTTTACAGCTTTAAATAGTATCATTATTATAGATATGAATATAGTATTTCTTTATATAAATGTGAATTATATTCTCAAAGATTAGAACTTTATAAGAGATAAGAGTCTATATATACTTTGAAAGAAACTCTTACTTATTCAGAGTTAACTGATTAAGCTAAAGATTTTTCAAGATCTTATAGAACTGACAGCTGATAATATCTTTATTCACTTATCATTGAATCACAGTAAGTTGAATGATTTTACTAAAAGTTAAGTAAATTTAACAGCTCTGAATATCTTCTTTATAATCAATACATCTGTTATAATAGAGCAGGGTTTGAAAAATAGATAAGAGTTAATAGAAATCTTCACTAAGAATGACACTGAGATCATTAAAATAAGTATTCTTATAAGAGAATATGTAATGACAGATCTGATTAATTTATGAAAGTTACTGTAAATCAATCATTGACTTTCCATTAATTAATAGATAGTAAATGTGGCGGGCTGCGCCCGATCAATCATATAGACTATTTCATTACACTTCATAGATTCTTTCATTCCCGATCACCAATCCTCGGCTGCTATGAACGCGCGTAACATATGCTCTGATTCTCAGTCATTTCTGATCATCAATCCTCAGCTGCTATAAACGCGCGTATATTCTTCCGCCCTGAAGCTCCACTGCATACATCATCACATACATGTATAAATATTCATCTTGATCACTGATTCTCACACTTTCTCTTTCTTTTCTTCTTTAACATTTTTATCTTTGTTAAATAAAACCTATTAATATAATATCAATCTATTTAATGTAGGTCTCTTACACTATAAAAACATTCATTATCTTCTTATTAGAAAATGATTATTTATGCATTATCTTCTCATTAGAAATGATTATTCATTGAGAGATATCTGAACATGTAAAGATGTGTAAGAAATAGAGAAACAGTTAAACAGTTAAGTGAATACTGAGTTCTCAGATAGAAGCTTGCTCATCAGTCACTCTGACTCTGTAACAAGATCTTATGAAAAGAATAAGATCTTATAAGAGAATATCAGTGAAAGATCTGAGAGTTCTAACACTCAGATATATGAGAATATAATTACACTTTCTCAGATTTCACAGATATCACACATTTAATAATTGATATAATCATGTCTAACAATAATATGAAACTCTTGAATGTGAGTATAGATATAATGTCACAGTGACTCTAAGCAATGTTGAAATTATAATAATAATAAATAGCTGATATGCATGCAACTCAATAACTTCAATATGAAGAGATTTAATAATTAACTCATGCAATTTCAATATCTACAGAATCAAATACAAAAGTACTGAAAGAATACTTAGACACTCTTATATATTTCAATACTTTCAATCTCACTCTCTACTCATCATGAAGAATGAGAATGCTTATAAAACTGAGTGTAGATGAAGATTTCATCAGTTTATTAATTAATCAAGATTGATATATCAATGAATGATTGAAAGATCACATGAAACAGAAGTTTCATTCATAAATGAAAGCATATGAATCAGCATTGAAAATGCCTGATAATATCATGAAATATCTTGATGTTCTGTTTCAAGACACTGCTATATAACAGAGAGTATTAGATTAATTACAGAGTATCTGACAGAGAAACACTTCTCTTACAACATTTATTTCTGACTTTAATATCAAGATTCTAGAAGCAGATGATCAATCTTGAGAGAATCAAATAAAGATTAGCATGCTTAAGAAGACATTGACTTTTGAACTCTTACAGACTCTTATAAGTGTAGACAAAGATCAGACTTATAAAGACTTCTGCATACAGCTTCAGACATTGAATAACTATCTTATCAAGCTCAAGAGTATACAGAACAGTGACAGAAGACATTACATCTCAGTCACTTATACACTTATATCAAAGAACAACAATGATGCAGATGTCATGAACTGAATAGATTCAAATGTCTATGCATAAGCAAGAGTTTCCACTGTTTGAACAGGCTTTCAAGTCTCTGAAATTACTCTTAAAGAAGTCATCAATCAATATCAACATAAAGTGTGTATCAACTGTAACTGATCAGAACACATTGCTTTCAACTATCAATCAATCTATATGTCTTTATACTCAAGAGAAAGATCAGTGTCTTCTCATTCAAAGAATGAATCAGCATCTGTGTGTGTCAATCATATTACATTAGAGAAAGATTCAGAAGATAACTATAAGAATGTCTCAGTGAAACAGAGAAAAGATTAGCTTCTGTTCAAATTTATAAACAGAAGCTTGAAGAGATTGAATGATAATAATTTAAAGAGAAGATGACAATGAATACAA